CCCCCCCAAACTGACCTCTTTCTTCCCCGGGGAGTTGCACTTAGTTGACCTGCCGATGTATGCTCTGCTGTGATGAGTTTATTGGCTTATTGTTTCCTTCAATCATTGTATGATTAGCATGATTAGTACAGCTTTGTATATTGTGTCATGCTAACATGAACTTATGGAGAAAAAAACCACGGAACAAAGCAGCATTTAAAGCATTCTTTCTGCTCTATAACTTTGCAATATCCCTTGCCTTTAATGTGTTATATTCCTCTCTATAGTGTCAACTTCTCTTTAAAGCATGCTTTGCATTACAAGTTTTATCGACTACATAAAGTGCCCTCTAACATAGAAGAGTTTCGCACCGATACATTATTATCCTCATTTATAGCATTTCTGTTCTTCTCTTCTTTTTACCCTTCCACTGACTACCGGGGTGTAGTGGTCAGTCCATTTGTTTTTCAGGGTTAACACGAAGTTCGATTACTTTTTGGGACAGGTACCATAATATTGAGTAACGAGGTCTCTATCCGCTAGAAAACTATTACTGCATAGTTAGGGTTGGCCTTACAGGCGAGGTCGAAATAACCTTGCTAAACGATCTGTGTTTTGTTGCTGGGACCGTAAATATTTACAATCAATAACATAACCCTTTTGTCGTTTTTTACCGTAAGGCATTTTGTATCCTTTGTTTGAAAAGTGACTTTATGTAAAGTTCTCTACGCTCGTACTTAAAGTAGTTTTAAGAGCAGAAATTTCCGTGCATATGCACACGTGGCAACATGGGCCGTATAATGTATACGGCAAAGTCATGTTCTCTCTATTCTGTTCTCTTAGTGGGGAGGCCCCCATTTTTTGTTCTGGATTGCGTATTTAGCTTGGCCGTTTCCACCAGAGAATATTCATGATGTGCAGCTGATCTGAATATGCTCTTCGTATCTTAGTAGCTAAGCTTTTCAATTTACTTACTAATGCACCTAAGCAGAAAAGTCTAGAGTTCAACTAGTACACCAGGTTGTATGACTCGTAT